ACAATTTTCCATCTCTGAATCCTACTAGAAGATGTAGTTTTAGTAACGGAAACTCTTTTGATAGCCTGAAAAATCTATTTCTTCCACTAATTATGAAATTTAAAACTTCAAAAATAGTGTTGATTGAGCATATATATAAATACTTGAAATTAGACGGTCCATATAAAATTTTACAAGATGTACTATTTTTAAGAGTCGAAATATTTTTTTATTTTCATATCTATAGATTTCGAAGTCAAGATGAGTAACTAGAGGGTTTTGGGGCATCAAAATGGCCGTTTTTTAAGCGTCTCACTTCTATACCATAAAATTGATACTTTATATAAATTTGTTTTCAATAAGTGGACCATTCACTTTTAGTGTAATAAGGTCGTAATCATTTTTAGCCATTAGATGTAAAATCCTACATATTGATGTGTTATAACTTATAGCATTAATAGAATTTTTATTTGGACTTTGTGCTTGGTCAATGATATATCCCCATCCACTCATTTTCACATCTAAACGTCAATCAATGAGCATTATTGTTGGGTTTATGTAGCCTTTAAAGGCCTTACAAGAGCTTGTATTAGCATTTTATATAGTGGAGCATAAACTCAGTGGGAGTGTGGTCCTTTTATGAACCATACTAGGTAAATGTTATTTGATGATACTCCGACTATGCTCGACGAGCTAGGCCAGCCGAGGTTTGGAAAAACCCAAGATACATGGGCATAGAGATCTATCGAGAAGGGTTTAGGTGGTTATTCCTTAATGAGATCGGAGTATGCTCAGATGAGAGCCAAGGGACTGTGTGGCTCTTGCATGTGGTGAATATCCTTTAGAGACAAGGCTAAATCATCATCGTTATGTACATCATACGGCATGTATATAGATAGCCGTTTTGAGTTTCACCAATGAGGGTGAAGTATGTACATGTGCGAGAGATTACCCTTACGCATCATAGAGTCATGGTTGCATAATGGTCTGGAAAACCATTATTTTTGTCTCTAGGGGAGAACTTGAAATCCATAAACTGAGATTGCATCCTTTAGTCTATTGGCTGACTTTGGTGGTCCAATCATGAATCCCTGCAGTGACAGTGGGTCATGGGAACTGCTGGTCAGTTTGAGAAAGCTAGGTGGATCATGATTCACAGTTGAAGGTGGAGTACTCCTATGTATTGATAATTTCGTAGATCTAACAGATCTGATTCCTATCAAAATTAATTAATTTTAATTAATTTATGTTATGTGATTTTTAGAATGTTTATTTAAAAATTTGTGAATATTATGATATTTTATTTTTATCATTTGAATTTATAAATTAAGATCAATTAAATTTTCAATGTTTTAAATAAAATATAATATTTTAAAAAAATTAAATTAAATTAAATATAAAATAAAATATTTTCTAAAATATTTGGAACCTCCATAAAATATGGGGCCTAAAGTTTAAAAGGATGTGGATTATGTGGGCCCAAACATGGCCACCAAAAGGGTGGCACGCCTCCACCTACCCACGTAACATTATTGGGAATAATGTTTATCGTCTGACTTATCTTTTTAGGTATAACTAACTTATATAGTAAGATTAAATATTTGAGATATTTATTAATTTTTTGAATCAAGATTGATTGATCAAATAAATAAGGATATGATATATTAAAATATAAGCTTTTCTTATTCAATGGCATATTTAGGAAATGGAGGATAAGGCTCTAGCTCATCTTTTTTAATCTAGATGGTGGATCAAAGAGATTGATGACTTAAATCTCTCACCCCACAAGTCTCTCACCTGACAAGTCTCCTTAAATCGACGGTTGAGATTTGACCCTACGAATTGATGCAAAATCTATGGTATAGAAAATCTATAAAGAGATGTTCCCTCGTAAAATGAGATACATATTATCTTTTCTGTCTTTAACAATTTTGTTTCCATACCCAAAATTCTCCTCTTCCACAGGGAAGGCATGCCCTAATTTTCTCTGCGTAGGGTGTATTAAGTCTGGTTGAGGTAATCTCCGGCAATTTTACCTTTTTAGAAATATTTACTTCTCTTCTCATAGAGCAATAAATTCTAGTTTTTTTTCTTAATAAAGAATTGTATTTGAAGAGGTAGCTTGGAAAATCGATTTTATTTTTATTGTATTTTATTTCAAGAGTGGTTTGATTATAATTAGACATTGTAAGTGATCTTGCCAGTGTAAAGGTAAAGACTTTTTTAAATATATATACATCGTGCTATATCATAAAGTCCTTTCAACTTTAACCTCTTTATACCTAAAATAAATAATCTTTTCCTAGGTAATATGAATATGAGACCTAAGGATATGCACTACATGCAATATATCATGTTAACTTGAATGATAAAATGAGTAGGTTATAGGTAGAGTTCTACCCTTCCAAGATCCATCTTGGAGATAGATTTTGGACACAAACTTTTACCTATCTATTACATCAATAACCAGGATGAATGTGGAAAAGGAATAAATTAGATGTTTCAAAAATAGTTTATTTACTGTTTATTTCTATTATTAATTTTAATTTCTTCAAATATCAGCCCGTTTTTATTGTTTTTAAAGCTCCAAAACCATGGGTTTGAGTCATAAATGGATTCCAAATGTGTTTTAAGCTCTAAAATTCTTGATATCCAAGACTGACTCATAAGACGCCAACCAACTAAATTCTGATCTTCATCAAATATATATTTGGACATGGCATCGAACAATGCACTTATTCAAATGCGACCTCCTTCAAAAATCCATCTTAGAGATCGAATTTGGACCTAAAATTTTATAGGCCCACAATCTCAACTACAACAATGGAAAATATATTTGAATATTGAAAAACATACTTTATTTATAAATTATTCATTGCGGTGCATTTTAGTTATTTACAAATCAACATATTTGCACTTTTTTAAAACTACAAGACAAGCTTATTAAGAGAGGTAGAACCATCACAAATATCTATATATTGTGTAAACAAAGAATTGAGAGTGGTGATCACGTCTTCTTACATTGTCCATTCACCCATGATATATGGTGTTAGTTATTTGATAAGCTCGGTGTTGGCCCTCTACCTATGAGTCAGTAGATCAAATGTCTTTTGACAAACTTCCTAAAGTGAGTTTATTGATTTCTCATATATGAAAGGTTGCGGTGTTGTGGAAGATTTGGTTGGAGAGAAATAGATGAGTTTTTTAGGGATTGGTAATGGAGGGTGATTGGGTCAAGAAGAGAATACAACATACATTGTGGAGTTGGTTTTCTGTTACCAATTAACGATCTGGGGCGTTTCAGGTGGATATGGAGATTAATATTAGGAGTTTGATGTCACAGATGGTGGTTAAGGTGTGATATAAAGGGCGGTGGATTGTGCTTGGTTTTGGGTACCTTAAGCTAAACCATGACAGTAGCTCGGTAGGTAATCCAGGACCATCATGAGTTGGGGGTGTGTTTCAGAACAATCTTGGTGCGTGTATTTTCTATTTAGCAGGTTCGTGTGGTGTCAAAATTACTAATGCAGGAGAGATACTGGTCTTGGTCCAAGGTTTGAAAATCTTTAAAGAGTGGGGGTTGCAGGAATGATGTGTGGGTGAATGTGGCGAATCAGTGCAATGGGGTTTCTAGACCACATTAGAAGCTTAAATCAACATGGCTGGAGGTTACGGATCTGATCCGAGATATGTCAAGTCACCTTCCAACTTGTCTACAAAGATGGAAATGAGATAGCGGACGCCTTAGCCAAGAGAGGTGGTAGAATGCAAGAGATGCTTATTTCAAATTCTATTTTTATTTGATCACTCTAATCTTCCTTGATTAATAAAATTACGAAACATGGTCAAAACAAAGAAAAAAAAAAGAGTTCCAAATTCTAAGAGTAATCATTAATCCCGGTCGAAGTTGCATTCTCAAAAGGGTGTCATTGAAAATTGGATGAAGTTTTTATAAGGCCTAGGTTTTATGAAAACAAAATAGAGCCTCACCTGAGATCCTCATCTGAAAAGTACTTTCGGAAACGGAAATATCCATGATGGCTCTAAAATCAATTTCCAACTTTGATAATGAAATTTGAAACTAAAAAAATGATATAAATCTTGCAGATCTATAAACACTTATATTTAAGGTGAAATAGACGATCTATATTTTGTTATAATATACACTACTTTTAGAACATAAAATTCTTTTTTTTTTTTTTCACAACGATAATGTTTTAAGCCCAGATAATCCATATAAAGCTTTTGTGATGTTTGAATTATAAGGTGAGGGTTTACTTATTTGATGGAGCTGCAGCCCTATCATACAATTTTTCTTGAAAACTTTCATAAAACGAAACGGCAACCGCAACTAAGAAACGATCCGGTGATAGCATCCGTGGGCTCCACCTGCGTCATTATCCACAGGAAGTTCAGATCTCGAGTCATCTTATCGGACGGTCCACTTCCAATTAAACCGGACAATTTTGGGATATCCCCACCGTCCACTAAGAAGCTAATCCTCTTGTAATATCACCATATAAACAAATAAAGGATGAGGTTGTATAAGATTGCCTTATTATAGTCGGGTGCACCTATAAGATTATTATTTAGGTATGTCATTGAAAATCTAATGATGGTTTTGAAATCTCTTTTTATCTTTAGTCAGAAAATTTAAAGTTTTAAAGATAATACAGATTCATTAAATCAATAAATACTTTAAAATCTTAAAAATAAATAGTTATTTGACTTTTTATAAGATGTACAAATTTTTTTATTTATAATTATTATTTTTTTCATGTCTATTCATCTCAAAGTCGAGATGATCAGTTGAAGGGTTCTCCTATGTAGAAACGCTTACATCTTTCCTCAACAGTATATCTTGTACAAATTTTTTTCAAAACTAAATGGGCAAATGAAAGGAGCCGGTCAGTTTCTTGAGAAGGTGACGTACATGCACGTGCCAGGCAGACTGGTTCGGTGGCATGTTTTAGAGGGAGAGAGAGAGTAGAGTTTTAGTGAGAGAAAAAGAGACATTTTTATTTTTAATTTTCATGTTAAGGACTCGTAGAAAGTGTCTTTAAAACCCCCAATCTCTCGAGGGCACAGGACTTCTTTTTCCCTCTCCATTGCACTAGATAAAAGAAAACCCTTATTTTACCTCTCTCTATTGCACCAGAGAGAAGAAACCCTCATTTTCTCTTTCCATAGCCGTCTTTTCTCTCTCTGGCTTTCTTTTATCATCTGTATTTCGCCCCAATTTTCTTCTTTTCCCTGAGACAATTCTCCGATTTTTGAAGAATCTACGCCACTTTTTCTTCTTTGATCACTGATCTCCTTTTTTTGGAGATCTTGATCTTTATCAGAGGCCAAAGTTAGGGTTTGTTTTTTTCTTGAACCCTAATTCAGCGACTCTCTCTCTCTCTCTCTCTCTCTCTCTACTAAGTAGTTA